ACTCATCTTGCTATCAGATTTTATACTGAAAGCTTACAATAGTTACACACTTATATATAGGTTAAAGCTACTCTTAATATTTAGTTGATTACATAAAAATTTAAGACACAAGTGCCCACATACATATGAGGCATTTTACGTGAAATGTCCTAAGTTGAAATTTCACCTTCTTGAAAAAAATTGAAACTCGAGGAATTTGTTGTTCTATCAAGTAGAAATGTGACCCAAAAAATATTTTTGATTTTTTCGAAAAATTGGAGGGGGTAGAGGGGGGTCAATTTGACCAATTTTGCCAACATCGGCTACTTTGTGAATTTTTTCTGAACATACTTGTAATGGGAAAAATTTTTTAGAATATGTTTCTGAAAGGTTTTTTCGTCCTCTTTCCAATGGTGTATTTTATTTTTTAATATTTTAAAAATTTACCCTAATTTTTGATAATTTATATTTAATTTTCAATTTCCCAAAAATCGGTCCGTTTTTTTTTAAAATAAATTATTGCAAACGAAAGCTGAGGTTTTTTCCTATCGGCATGTAAATTTTCAGAATGCCCTTTTTTTTGTTTTTGAGTTATTGAATTTCAAAGAATAAATTGCGGCGCGCAGCGTCCCGGGCGCCTCGTCTCACGCCGGTTGCCATGGGTTGCCATGCGGCTCAGTGCAACCGCGACGCAGCGCGCCGCAATTTATTCTTTGAAATTCAATAACTCAAAAACAAAAAAAAAGGGCATTCTGAAAATTTACATGCCGATAGGAAAAAACCTCAGCTTTCGTTTGCAATAATTTATTTTAAAAAAAAACGGACCGATTTTTGGGTAATTGAAAATTAAATATAAATCATCAAAAATTAGGGTAAATTTTTAAAATATTAAAAAATAAAATACACCATTGGAAAGAGGACGAAAAAACCTTTCAGAAACATATTCTAAAAAATTTTTCCCATTACAAGTATGTTCAGAAAAATTTCACAAAGTAGCCGATGTTGGCAAAATTGGTCAAATTGACCCCCCTCTACCCCCTCCAATTTTTCGAAAAAATCAAAAATATTTTTTGGGTCACATTTCTACTTGATAGAACAACAAATTCCTCGAGTTTCAATTTTTTTCAAGAAGTTGAAATTTCAACTTAGGACATTTCACGTAAAATGCCTCATATGTATTATAATTTTGAAATCTTTCATGATTATATTTTATTAAGCTACCATCACCTAGATAAATGACAAGATCTGTTGGTGGAGCAAGGTTACCAAAACTATCAAAATACATTGTTTCATTTCTAAATTTTTTATATGCTACCCAATGTGTTCCAGCACCTTCTTTATTATCAAGGTTAATTATTCCTGATTCATATTGATGAGGACCACTAATAGGTAGTTCATTTCGCATAAAAACACCGCGAAAATAAGGTATTTTGGCAGTTTTGGCATACTTTAACAAATCAAAATCAGTTAATGGACGATGAGGTAGCTTCAAAACAAGTTTTTTTTCATTCTTGTTATTTTCTTCTTTCTTGATGCTCGTTTTTTCTTTCTCGGTGCTCGTTTCTTTCGTTTTCCAATTCCTTTTCCTTGAGTGAAAGGTTTAAGATGGAGACCAAGTCCTTGCCGATAAGGTTTAAGGTGTAATCCTTTTCCAAGCGATATAGCTTCCATTGTTTTATTGTGACGCTGAGCTTCTGAAAGCTGTTCACTGGCTGTTTTAGCTTTATTAACAGCTCTTGCTATTCCTGAAGCACCTCCAGCAAGTGCTCCTAAAGCACTAAGTCCAGCAAAAATTGGAACTAGTGGTAAAATTCCACCTACTTTAGTAGGTACAGGAAGAATTCTTGGTGATAGAACTTTGGATTTACCACCAACATTTTTTATTGCTTTTCGTGCACCAGTCATAGCTGCTCTAATTGATTCTTCAGCATTATTACTGGGAACCATACTTTTTCGCGCAGCATCTACAATTTTTCTTAGTGCTATCCTTTTCTTCCTACATATTGTTTTTCTTTTTTTCTTTCTAATGGATGATTTTCTCCTTCTTTTCATCCCCATACCTAATTTAGATTTAGTTTTCATTGTTCCAGAAATAGCTAAAGCAGCTGCTCTTTCACCTAAACTAGAATCACTAGCTTTAACACGTTCCCAAGCTTTCTTAGCTAATACTTTATCTGCTTCGTTTCTAGCTTGAATATTTTCACGATTTTGCGAATATGCAATGTCGTGTTGTTTACATGCAGCGTCCAGTGGATTAATTCCTTGGTCACCTCGTGACAAACGCTTTGCCAACTTTGTACCAGGCCCACAGAATTGGTATCCTGGTAAATGTAACTCAAACGGTAAACTATTGATGATACGATTAATTAAACCTTTTCCTTGATAGCGACCTTTTTTAACCTCCTGATGCAGAATCATACTTCACTCCACAATGGTTGACGTGAAACTGACAAATTGACTATAAAAGCTAGGTATTTATAGATTTTAGGGTAGTTACTGTCAAGATGCAGTTCACGAAACAACCTGTCGCGCTGCCAATCACTAGTATAGATATAGAAACAAACGAAAAAAAGATTAAACGTCATGGTAGTCTGTTTTCAGACAGCATTCGAGCAGTTTTCTGTGGCCCCTCAAATTGTGGTAAAACAAATGCTCTTCTTTCCCTAATAATACATCCAAATGGTCTAAGTTTCGAAAATATTTACCTCTACTCTAAATCTCTACAGCAACCGAAATATAAATTTTTAGAAAATGTAATCAGTCAGGTAGATGGTGTTGAGTATTTTCCATTTAGTGAACATGAAGAAGTAGTATCTCCAAAAGACGCTAAAGCAAATTCAATATTCATTTTTGATGACATTGCTTGTGAAAAGCAAGATAATGTTAGAGCTTTCTTTTGTATGGGTAGACATGTAAACGTTGACAGTTTCTATTTATGTCAAACGTACGCTCGTATTCCAAAACATCTAGTTCGAGATAATGTAAATTTATTGGTTCTATTCAGACAAGATGAAAAGAATCTGAAACATGTATACGAAGATCATGTTAATACAGATATGAGTTATACTCAATTTCGCGATTTATGTTCAGAATGTTGGAAATCTGATAAATATGGATTTGTTGTTATTGATAAGGACCGTAATTTTAATGAGGGAAGATATAGAAGAGGATTTGATTGCTTCATTTCACTATAAATACAAGAAGTTTATTGAATTTTTAATTAGTATAGATTATCTTGTCTCAAAGAAAACATGTATCGAAAAGAGCAAGAAACGCTTCGTCAAATAGCAAAAGCAAGTGATGCTATTAGGCGAAAACATCGTTTACTCAAAATGGGTAAAGAGGCTGCAGAAACAGTATTAAAAGAAACTCTTCAACCAATAGTAACACCACTAGAAAAGTTGGTTAAAGTAACTGACATACCTTTCAAAAATATTAAAAAAGAGAAAGTTAAAAAGGAGGAAAATGATTTTTCTTTCTCAACTGCTGTTGATGAGGAAGAGGAATTTGATAAAACACTACTCAATCACACTTTACTTGATAAGAGCAACAACTTTGAAGAAGAAGAACTTAATTATGGAAATTTGACAAATAAATTTATTCAATTATTAAATAAAAACAGAAAAAAATATTTAGACATGGTTTATGGAGTACGTAAGCTTCCTAATGGTTCTTTTATAATTGGAGATACACTAGTTGATTTAGAAGGTTCACATATTCAACTTGCTGGAAAGAAAAAATATGTAAAAACTGCTGGGTTGCTTGAGCTTTTATTTAGACAAGAACCTAATCATGCATTAATAAGTTCAGATGATTTGGAAAATTATAAAGAAATTCTTGTAGCTACAAATGCACACCGAAAAAATTATAGTTCCAGTGAACTTGTCAACGTAACCAGGAGTTCTAAATACATTGATGTCATTGCAAAACTTTTTAAGGGTACACCAAAGAAGGGTAGTGGTGTTTTAAAGAGGAAGAAGAATCTTGGAAGGAAATTGCCTCAATTTATGATTTCAAAGAAACAATTTAAACCAGACTACATTTATTGGGATGATCCCAATGAACTAGTTGACCGTTTACGTCTGCTAGTAGCATCACAGCAAGCTGGAAATTCAAGCCATAATAATGAAATTATGTCAATCATCGAAGAACTACGTGAAGCTCGCATTATATATTAGGAGAGTACAAGCAAATAGAGCTTAGTATTAAAATGAGCATTGATGTGTTTGGACATCCCTTGTCACGGCCTCTTGCAAGTCGTGGACTTCCTGGACCTTCTGGTATTGGATTTAAAGTTACTCCAAGTGGACAATACGACATTGATAACAAAAGACTTTGCAACGTTCAAGGCGCTGAAGAGCAACACGACGCAGTAAATTTAAGACAAGTAAAAAAAATTGTTAAAAACGAAATAAAAACCGTCTTTGCAGTTACAACTTCTTCAAGATCAGCTATTGATGACTTGACTATTCTTATTCAGTCTATTGAAGAAAGAATTAACGAAAAACTTAAGCAAATTGAAACTGAGTTACAACTTGAACTGCCTCTTCAAAACGCTAAATATATCGCTAAGTTGGATTCACGTTTAAACCATCTTGAAAATGGACGGTGAAAAGTTAACTGTTGTTAAAGAATTGCATAGACAAGCTAGAAAAAATTATCCTCGTCGAAAAGTTCAAATGCGTGGTATTGATGAAACCTGGCAAGCAGATTTGGTTGAAATGATACCTTATTCTTATTCTAATAAAGGTTTCAAATACATGCTCACAGTTATAGACATATTTTCCAAATATGCTTGGGCTATAGCTGTAAAGAGTAAGAATGGAAAGGATATTTCTCTAGCCATAAAAACTATTCTAAAACAAGGCCGAATTCCAAAAAATTTGCATACTGATAGAGGCAAAGAATTTTACAATTCTGAATTTAAGAGTTTAATGCAAGAATTCAATATTAATCTCTATTCTACCTATAGTAATTTGAAAGCCTCAATTGTTGAAAGATTTAACCGCACTCTAAAAAATATGATGTGGCCTGAATTCAGCTTGCAAGGCAATTATAAATGGATTAATCTTTTACCAACTCTCATGTCAAAGTACAATAATAAAAAGCATCGTACTATTGGTATGAAGCCTAAAGATGTCACTGTAGAAGATACAAGAGAACTGCTGAGACGTATCCGTAAACTACGTAGAATTCCGCTGAAAAGATCAAAATTCAAAGTTGGAGACAGATTTCGAGTTAGCAAATACAAAAATATCTTTGAAAAAGGATATACTCCCAACTGGACAACAGAAATATTCACCGTGGATAAAGTTAAATCAACAAAACCAGTTACATACAAGCTGAAAGATTATCAAAATCAACCCATCGAAGGTGGTTTCTATGAAGAAGAATTGCTGAAAGTCCAATATCCAGATGTTTACCTCATAGAAAAAGTTCTGAAGACTCGTGGTAATGATGTATATGTGAAATGGCTTGGATTCGATAGCTTACATAATAGTTGGATAAAAAAATCTGATATGTAATATAGTTAACGTTAAAGTATAGTTAAAGTAATGTTAAAGTATAGTTAAAGTAACGTTAAAATAAGTTAAAGTAAAGTTAAAATATAGTTAAATAAAGTTAAAATATAGTTAAATAAAGTTAAAATAAAGTTAAATAAAGTTGAAGTATACTTAAAATAAGTTAAGATTAGTTAGAATAAGATAAAATATGTTAAATTGATGTAACTAGATTAAGGTTTTTTTTTAATAAAGTAAACATGAAATAAAATGTATAACATCTTTTATTCAAACAACTATTTGCTCCTCCTCATCCTTTTTTTTTTTTTTTTTTTTTTTTAAAAACAAATTATTGTCTATTTACATTGGTTCATCATCATCATTATCATCGTGCATATATTGTACTATTTTACAATGACCCCATGCAAGGGTGTCAGTGCTGTTTGCTAATAAATATCTTTTATCATCATATGGGCTAAGTGCAATCTTCGTTTGCTTTAATGTTTGTACATTGTGCAGTTTTGACCGAATACAATATTGCGTCCTCGATTGGATTTTAACATTTCGAAGACAATAAACATAATCATCAAAGTCGATATTTTTCTTGACAACTCCTGCTTTGACACCTTTAGCCTTTTTTATTAAATCTTTCTCTTCTACGCGAACGCTGTACATTTTGCTCCGCAAGCCAACAAATTCTGTTACAATTTTTCCACTGCACTCATCTTTCATGAGACCTAAAATTTTTTTGTTGGCTTGCGGAATATTGTACACGTTATTTGTTGGGTAATCAGAGGTATCAAACTTTTGAATATCTTTCTTCATGTCTTCGTAAATGTTACAGCACTTGATTTCATAAATAAGGCTATCGGTGTCAGTGTACAACAATTTTAGTTTCTTTTCATCATATTTTTTCAGCATATAATCATAGTGAAAGTCATAGATTAGCGTTTTTGAAACATCTAGCACGGTTAAACCAATATAAAGTGGTTTGTTCATTAAAACTTCCATTTTTCTAAGTTCCACAGCAACCAAGTTTTCATTGAAAATGGCTCTGCTGTGGAAGTTAGGTTTGGAAATTAAAGCTTCAGCTCCATATCTGCCCTCCCACTTTGTTACGAGTTTAATATCAACATGTTTTCGCACATTCTCCATTGTTTTGCCAAATACCGCGTTGTTCATTAATTTAAACAAGTTTTTCTCAAATTCATTACTGGCATTTGTTCTTTTCGTAGTATTAAAGTCAATGTAACTTTTTAACCACATGGATTGTTCGAATTTTAAGACGCGATGAATTTTAACTAACACGAGACCGTTGGCAATAGCTTGTTTTAAGGCACAATAATGGAGAACGTGCTTTCGTTTCGGTAGGAGGGTAGTTAGGAGCTTCTCCTCTTTTGACCCTGGTGGCTTCGAGCGTTCCGGACAAAATGGAAAATCGCTGTGTTTATCATGAAGGTGATCTGGATAATCCAAATCAACTTCCAAAATGTAACCCGTAGGCGCATCGTCTGCAACATTGAAATCAAAACTATTATCGACATTCTCTACCCACTTGAAGCCACCATAGGGAAGTGACTGAACCATTGCCCAACCGTACAGGTTGTTAGCGTCAAAGTACATGATATAAGATGTTTCCTCACTCTCATTGTAATTCTTCATATAATGATTATTAGCTTTTGCGTAACGATTCATGCACTGACTCACTCCACCTCTTATACCACGTTCTATAAACATTACCATGTCAATGTCAGTGAGGAGTTCCAATCTTATTTCCGTGTACTTCAACATGGCATCCCATGTTAGTCCCGGTGTTGTATAATAATGCGCTGCGTCAAGACCGTACGCGACTAAACATTGATTTCTAAAATTTTCAAAAATGTCCGCGAGTAACAATATATCGGTTTGCATGTACAAGTATACGTAATCACCGAGATTTTGACAATTGAATTCATTCCAAACTTTCTGCGCGTGGGTATAATCATCATCAGAGACATTCGAATCGTTTAAAGTGCTATAAAATTTTTCTTTGGGTGGTAACTCTGTTTCATTGAGTTTTTCCCTTGAATCAATGTACTCGTAGGAAAAAACTCCTTTTCGCGTTAACAAATGAATTTTGTCATCACTATAGTTGGAAAAAACAGAATTAACAATTTTGTACTCATTAAGATAGGATGCTAACTTGTCCAATGATGATGCCATGAATTTAAAAGAATCGATAAAACGAAATTTGATAAAACTACCTTTTACATTTTTAGTAAAACTAATATATTTTTCTTTATTTATGGGGAGGAGATAAACATTACCTTCAAATTCAGTAGCAATAGATTCAATGATAAAGTGTGCATCATAGCCGCTTAGGTTATGAAAGACAACAGGTATGGTTTGCGATTCATGGTAATTAATATTACATTCTTGATGCGCGGGTCCACGAAACTTCCCTGTTAGATGACAATGGTCTCTTACTTTTACTTGTCCAGGCTCGATTTTCTTTTTACAAATATGACATGTGCTATCATTTCGAAAAGCTACCCATTGCTGAGAACTTAGAGTTTCCATGGGCACAGGATTTTTAAATAGAGAATCTATATTGTCAGCCAAATTTTTTAATTCCTTTGAAAACCACTTTGCTGGATACTCCTCATCTCTTGGAGACGATTTGTATACAGACAAAGAATCATCAAAAGCGCACTTCAAGTAATATCCAATACTGAGAGTTTCATGATTTTGAAACACTTCTGTATTGGATATTTCTTTTGGTGCTTCTGTAGGAATTAAAAGACTCTCACAATCCGCATAGATAATAAAAGGCACACGTTCCTTGTTTTGGAAATGTTGAAATTCAAGGATATTTTTTCCAAGTTGAGGCAATTTAATTCTTGTGTCGTTCATCACTCTACAATTTTCTTCATGTTCGTTCAGCTTATATTCTTCTCCAAAATAGTGCAAGCAGCGATCACAGATGTATTTTTTTCTCTTCTTCTTTGACAGTTCTGAACTGACGAGTCTCGACAAATCCTTGATCCAGACATAATGGTAATTGAATGACATGATAGCAATTTCATCCTCCTCCTCTTCCTCTTCATGATTTTCGTCAATGTAGTGATCTTCAACTCGTAAAAGGTTAACATGATGAATTTTCTTTTGTGATGATAGATGTAGAGGTGAAACAGTAAATTTTTCATCTCTTTTGACAAGGCCGTAAACGTTGACTGAAATGTTGTTTAAAGCCTCAAATTTTGAAATATCTTTAAGTGCAACTGGAAATTCAATTCCAGTAAAATCGAGTAAATCTTCGTATTGCCTGTATTTTGCAACTCTGTGTGCATGTTTATTATCTGAGGGATATAACGCTGACAATATTGACCATTTAAAACATTGGTTATCAGCGTTTTGAACATTTATGCAGGCATGTTTTCTATTGATAGCAGATGGCAAATTGATATAAGAGCTTGCACGCATTGGGTTGTATTTGTTAATGTTAACTTCCAATCTTTCAATAGAATGAAGTCTCCAATTTGAATCTTTTTGTTGGAACTCTTCAATTCTTTTCAAAGTTGGTTGTTTTACATTCTCGTTGTACCATTGTTCTAACGGGGTTGTACTTAAAATTTCAACTGTTTTTGCAATAAACGTCTTCAAGTCAGATATTTCCTCTTTACCATTATTTAAATCTTTTACAAATTTCGCGCCTAACACGGTATACACTTTTAGCGGACCAAACCTGTTTAAAGCTTTTTGAATGTTAATTTCGAATAAAGCAAAGGCATCATCTAAGAACAAGTTAATATCTTTATACGATAAATTCATAATAGCACTGGTTTGTAAACGATCATCGAATGCCTTATCAAAATTTACCCATTTCAATCTTTCATTCTCCATTTGCACACCCGCACCACGTTTCATTAATGTATCAAAATGGCAAGACAAGTACTCTATCTTTTGGTTTAAATTCAAACATCTTGATTTTTGATAAGGTAAAAATTCATATTTTTTCAAAAAATTACGCATTATGTTTTTGTAACGCTCACACTTGTTTTGCCATTCAAAACATTTAATAAGCTTATCATCACCTGTCATATTCATCGTGGTGCTGAGTTCACGCTCTGCGACTTTGATAAAGCTGTCAGCCTCCTCACACACCTCATTGTAGTACTTGAGGTCTATTCGACGTCGTGATTTCTTTGACGATTTGCACTTTGGCATCTTGTACCTAAATCTGAAAATAAACTTTAAAAAAATACGTCTAAAACTAAGAAAAACCTGAAAAAACTCAAACTAAAAAAAAAATCCTGAAAATAAACAACTAAAACTAAAAAAAATCCTGAAAATAAACAAATAAATCTAAAAAAAAAATCCTGAAAATAAACAACTAAATCTAAAAAAAATCCTGAAAATAAACAACTAGATCTAAAAAAAAAATCCTGAAATAGAAAAAAAAGAACCCAAAAATAGAAAAAAACCACCACCAACTTAAAACTAATGCAAAATAGAACACAAAAATAAACAAAACCTATAATAAAAATAAATAACTCCTAAATTCAAAACGAAAAAAAACTCTGAAAAATTTTCTCTGAAAATCAAATCGAAAAAAAATCTCTGAAAACTCTAAAGAAAATCTGGAACCCTGAAAACCTGAAAGTAGTCTGCTGCACCATTCAAGATGCAACTGATGCTCGTGGCTCGCGCTCCGTAACTTATACCCCAGTCCCCACTATACTCACCTCCCCACTGTGCAACTCCCCACTACTCCACAGGCGCACGCAACTCTCCTACCACAATGTAGTTAACGCCGACTACTGGGATAACTTGAAGTTAACATAACCCAAGTGGGTCATCGGTCGGTAATGCAGAACCCTGACATACCGACCCGACCAAAAATTGTGGAAGAAATCTGCATTACCGACTGATGGTAATACTTATCATCGGTCGGTAACTTACCATCAGTCGGTAATTTACCGGCATTTTTATAGGAGTATTATCATCAAGGTCGGTAAAACAGAACACCCCTTCTAAGCCACTTG